CAGTAAAATTTAAACATCATGATATAATTTCATATCATGTTGTTTTAAGTTGCATATGAAATTGTCTTGAATCCAATACATGAAGTTGATACAGAATAATTCCAGGCTCATATTACTTTTTCACATTTGCTAAACATACTAATTGCCTCCTAATATGAACAATGTTACTATGTATAAACCCTATTTCATGGCAATATAAGAGTATGGAAAATAGTATTAACAATGCTGAATACTTTCCAGACAGCTATATCCAAAAAATTAACTCCTATTACATGATAAAGATACCTTTCAATTTTTTTTAATCAGAGAAATAACTTAAAAACTTACTTCAATTATTCACATTTTATACATCAGAATCTTTTTGGTGAATTATTGTTAACTGGAGACAAGTTCTATAAGATTTAGATAGCCACCATCTGCTCTGTAAATTTGAATCTCTGTAATTTGATTCCCTGTTGGGCCGTTACAAAAGGGTCAACGTACATAGGTGGTCAACATAAGGACTAGGCCGATTGTGCTGATATGTACATGTGGTACATGTCTGTTCTACGGAAGTTAGGTCAACTTCAGGATGTGGTCAGCCATGGGGGTTCCACTGTATATGATAACACATTCCTAGAATAGAAATGAGTTCTCTGGCATTCTGATTAGGGTCTATACCCCAGAAGCTCTGGGTCAGTTCTTCCTTTGGGCTACTCTATTTTAACGCTAAACTAATTTCTTTTTTTTAAGACAGTGTCTCACTCTGTCGCCCTATGTACAGTGCCAGGGTGTCATAGCTCACAGCAACCTCTATAGCTCATAGGTTCGAGTAATTCTCTTGCCTCAGCCTCCCAAGTAGCTGGAACTACAAGTACCCATCATCATATCTGACTAGTTTTTCTATTTTTAGTAGAGACAGGATCTCAGTCTTGCTAAGGCTGGTCTCAAACTCTTGAGCTCAGGGGATCCACCTGCTTCATCCTCTTAGCATGCTGGGATTACAAGCGTGAGCCTCTGTGCCCAGCCTGAAACTGAATATTGGAACTGTCCCTATATCATATTTCACACTGGAATGACAATCTGGATGATACTGTACAATTACAACCACTTTGGTCTCTTTACCTCATTTTTTAAAAAATTTAGAAAGGAAACATTATTCCAGTTTAAACAGGAAACATTATTTCAGTTTAAAAATAAATCTAACAATTTATTTAAGACATATTTACTGGAATCTTTAAGGCCAAGACAGCAGCCTTCAGTTCCTGAATGAGGTGTATGAAGGCTCTCAAAGAGATTCTGATTACTGAATTCCAGGCAAGAATTCAGATGATTTAGAGCTGACAGTTGTGTTCTGGTTAAATTCTATCAAACGGAATGAAGATTAAGCAGAGCAGCTCTGTCAATAATTTCTAACTGTTAAATCATAATATTAAACAGCAGAGAAACAAATTTACTGAGTAGGTTTTGAATTTAAGTGAGAGGCATGATGCCCTGAATTAGGATAATAGTAGCAGAAATAGATGATTTACAAGTAAAATCTAGATATTTGCAATTGATTCAATGTGGCAGATAAAGATGATAAGGCAAAGAGGATACCTGGAATAACTTCAAATACTCTCTCAGAAAAATATCTGATATGGTCATTACAGCATTAAGTGAACTATTAGATTATGTCCTTGAAATTGAGATAAAATATCCTGTTTGGAGGGATATCTAAAGCTATAGGATGAATGTGGCATATCTTCTTTTGTTGACAATTTACTCAACAACTAGGAATGAAAAGACTTTTAATTTTTAAACTGACAACATAGAGGATTCTCCCAAGTATCATAGATCTGGTTTTCAAATAATCTGTCCACTAAAGTTAGCAACTTTAAAAGCAAATGTTGTTCATAATTTCTAAATTTGTTTATCTTTGTATATTCACATACATATATGAACCATACATATTTCCTTTTTTCTCTGAAGCCCCTATCTCTTGTGTGTAATGTCCTCTCCACCTCCTCTACTTTACCACTTCCATGACTTTTAATACATATTGTAATACATATATTGCATATATGTATATGTAATACTTTTGTAATACATATATTACATATTTGGTAACTCAAAAATAAACCTTTTCCCAAATACTAGGGTAGTAATGCCAAGATAATTTACGATTGATACAATTACTTATGTCAGAATGTGCAAAATACAAAATCTCCAACAAGCACCAATAGGACAAAGGGATTCCTGTATGTGGGTGGACACAGGGAGGTGGACAAAAACCTGACGAGACAATCCTGGGGACTTAGGGTTTACTTGAAGAATAGTAGGAAATACGCTTCAGTTAGTAGGTAAAGGGGAATTAGCATGTGGGGAATCTTATTGTTCAGGCTCAACAAAGTAATTAATCTTTTTAAGATGATATCTAAGATAAAAGTACAACATTCCACTAAAGAAGAAAGGGTAAGTTAATACTGAGTTTTAGGATCTCTGATTAAATATTTTCTGTTTAATTAACAGATCCTGGCTCGGCGCCTGTGGCTCAAGCGGCTAAGGCACCAGCCACATACACCTAAGGTGGCGGGTTCGAATCCC